CTGTGTGACTGCAGCCGGAGGGGACCGAGCCAGGTCAGGGATATTTTCCATCCCCCAGGTGGCATAGTCTATGTGTTCCACACATCTACGGCTTGCTTTGCCCTGGCTGACTCTCAATGGTGATGGCGAAACCCTCTGGGGAGCTTACGTCATGGCCACTGCTGCTTCCTAGAGAAGAAGATATAAAATCATGGTAACTGGACTTTTGGTGTCCAGTCACTACTTCTGACTAAAGACTATACAGGTCTGAAAACCAGACTTTCTGGTTGAAAACTAGAAACCCGGGAACCCTAGGTGAGATTGCTATAATTTTTTTTATCTTCCATTTAAAACAAATAAAGAAACAGAAACCTGGAGGATTGCATATAATATAATCTGAATGAAAAGAATGTTACTTAGTTTGCACTTGAAAATAAAGAAATAAATTTACAGCTGTCCATGCACCTTAAATTTTGTCCCTTTGTATGTATGCATGACAGTATAGTCTTTAATTATAGTATCATGTACTATTTCCCCCCAAAGTTTTCCTGCCTTATTCAGTACACAGGTTGAAAGCATAAGGGGACAAAATTAAAGATGCATAGGTAACACTAAATGCCAGCATTTCTCAGCTTTTGAGCCCTGTCTTTGCAATAGTATTTTATGTTCATTGAATGTACTGTAAAATGTGGTGATATATAGAAGATTTACCCAATGATGTTTGGGTACTTAATTTCATTAATTTGGGGATTTTTTTTGGAAAATAAAATGAAAATGTAAATGCTTCACTTGAATCATTGTCATGGGGTGTGTGTTGCGGGTGAGGAGTTCCTTATACAGGTTGCCCTGGAGAGAGGACTACCTCCTCTCTCCTGTCACCATAGCAACATTCACCCAGGTAAAAGGCACCTCTCCATAGCTGCTGCAGGTCTAGCGGGCACATCTGGGGTCCATGTGCCTCAGCAGGGGCTGGTCTAGTTCATCTATCCCCTGGTCTTCACAGACAGAGTATGGAATTCAGCAAACTCTGCACTTTAACCTCATGCCCTGACGAAGGGGACCAACCAATAATGTTCACTTACAAATTGGGGAAGGAGGTAGGGAGAGCAATCTTCTGACCCCCCAAAAGGGCTCTTGGGGGGGGTCGGAGGTTTGGGGATAGGGCAGTCCCAGAGAGTGTGTGGGCCCCCAGGGCCCTTTTCACCTGCTTGGTGGTTCTGTCTCTTTTCTGTATGGTTTTATGAGACGCAATCTCATTCCTTGCACATCTCATTTTCCTGGCACAAACCCTTAGCTTGCTTTCAGTTATAATAAGAGGAAGCTATACAGGCTGTCCTCGCTGTAAGTACAAGATACATTCAAAAAAAATTAGACTTATAATGAAATAACTTAAAGCAGGGAATTTTTTTCCTACAGCTAACTTCCATTTGTGCCATTTTTTTTTTGCGTTACTTAAGAGTGGGGAATGGAAGGACTTATAATGCATCAGTTCCTACAAGCATCAATGACTTTAGTGCAGAACGGATGTATACAGGGACGCCCTGTATACTGAATTTGCAGGACCTAGCTCTTACTGTTTAGGAGGGTTTCTTGAACAGACAGACAGATGGACAGACAGTCAAATTTTCTCAAATATGTAGTAGATATGTATATATTATGCTCACATAAAATATACTGTACATGTGTACTATTGTTAACATTTTTTCTCTACAAAAATTTTCAAAATCTTTAAAATTATTTTAAAATAAAACCAGATTCTATTTGTTGTTCACATTTTCCCTTTATGGTTCTTTTTTCATTACATGCATGGTAGTGGGATCAATAGCCAGCACCACAATTAAAGGTTAAAATATAATTTCCATTATTAACTCTTTTTATTAACCTCTGTAAGCAGATAAATTCATTTTGCGTTGCAATTTTCTGTGCTTGATCTTTGCCTGAAGCAAATTGTTTTTGCAAAGGTCCAGCAAAATCTGTTCAGTATTTTGAGGTGCACATATGTGTATAAGCACTCTGCCATAAGTTTTAATCAGGAATTTTACACACACATAACTAACTTCAGACGCATATTATTTTGCTCAAACTTGCTTTGTTTTGAGTAGTACATTCTAAGGAGAGCTAAGGAAATGTGTTGCGTTTGAAAAAAAATTGGTGTAATAGTTTTGAAGTTGTTGGAAGATTTTTATGCATGTAGGGTTGCCAGGTATTGGGTATTCAACTGGACAGACTATTTTTTGGACCCTCTGTCTGGTAAAAAAAATTCAGAAAATACTGGACTTGTGCAAAGTCCAGTATTTTCTGGATTTCCGGCTAGGTGCCTGACTGAAGCCTGGTGGGAGTGGAGAGGAGTGGCTGGGAGGTGGGGCGCAATCGGCACTAGGAGCCTCTGGTTGTGTCTGACGTAGGAGTGATGCATTGGGGAGGAGGAGAAGCCTTATCCATACTC